GGTTTTTCATGGAAGTGGAACACAATGGCGTACGCGTCACAGCCACCAAAGCACCAACCTGTGAGCTAATGAGAGGCCCCATGCTGTTATCTAAGGCTCTGGCTTCTCTACCACTGCTGCACTTCTATTAGGGGAGAGAACACACACCGGGCTACCGTTCACATATGTGCGCTCTCTAAAGGAGGTTTCCCCGGGATGCAAAGGCTCGTAGAAGCCGCCGCCACGCATACAGTGGACCCCGTGCACGCAGACGCACTAACACAAAGACACACAACAGTCAGAAGTGTGTGTGGGGGGGGGGGGATTCGATGGCACCAAAGACCACAATAAAACAAAGGCACAAATGACACCCTCCTGTGACAATCCCAGCTACTTGCCTTTGTCTGATAATATATCAAATGCATTTAAAAAGAGCACTTACTTAATTGAACAACCTCTCCCAATTTGTTTGTGTTAAAGGAGAGGCAAAGACACTAGACAACATTTGTGTGAGTGTTTTTTCCTTTGTGCTGTGTGTCTGTGTGTGTGTGTGTGTGTGTGTGTGTGTGTGTGTGTGTTAAGCCCCCCTGCCAAGCAGAGATGCATTATTTAAGATGCTGTTGTGATACTTGTGCCTGCTTAAAGGTCTCCGCTTCCTTTTAACGCCACGCCGCATCGGTCCACCTCTGCCCCCACTTGTGGGGGGGAACCAGAGTGGGACCCGCTGGTACTGGTCCACGCATCACCTGGGAAAATATCACAGCAGGGGGGGGGGGGGGGGGGAGTGATATCGATAACCTTTTGAGCTTAGCATATATTCTTGTGAACATAAAGACATTTTATGACCCAATTTTATCGGCATTTCATTGCTGACTTCACACTTTTGTGCGTTTTCAGTTTTTAGAAGAAATTCAAGGATATGAAACTGTTTTTTGTTTATTTGTGTGCATTTCATTCCCACCTGAAAGTTACTATTAAAATAGCGTTTTGATATGTTTCCACATTCATAGAGCAGCTTTAAAACAGTTATAAAATACTGTATAACCGGTCAATGCCAGTTTCATGGAGCTGGACGTAAGTGTTATTGGGTCTAAATTTGGAAATGCCAAGCTGCTCGCCCACTGGTGCAAAAGCCAGTAATGGAACATAGTATTGTAAATTGAATATGGTTAATTACTCTTCACGCTATGCCACCAGCCGTGTGTGCAGGGCGAAAAAAGGGAAAGCGGAGGGAAAAGGCGTTTGCGGAGGAACTTCAGGGCCCCTCATTACACTCTGCCCCTGGGTATTTCTACGCCTTTTATTTCCCATCTAATGAACTGTTTACATTTTCTGAGCTTTCCAGGCGCCACAATTATTTGCGCTTGTCCTTGTGTCACACGTTGCGCCGGGAGAAAAGCAAGGAGGAGAGTTGGAGGGCATTGAAATGTGTACGTGTACATTCATTTGATTTAAATTATTTTTTGGGGGGGGATATGGGAAACTTTTCTTTCCCGTTACAAAGAACGGTTATTGTTGACTGCTTGAAATTAGGAAAGGTCATTGTTCTACAATCACCAATACGTTTTCTGGAAACAGATGTTATTTTTAAGATTGACTTTCTTCTTCCTGGACAGTATGGACCCATGCATGCCCATATACTAGAAAGAAATTGCGCACAAATGAAAGATCCATACATTTGCAATAATTAAATAAATATCATTTTCTCATCAGAGGATTATGCCAAACTGATTAGCATATCTGATATGAATTGTTATGCATGCATATGTAATTACATTTTGATGGGTAAGAAGAGTCGTTTTTTTTTTTTTCGTTTTTTCTTCCGTCTGCTCTCCATGTCAACAGAGGTACAACGTGTGTTTTTGACAGGACACCAGCACCTCCAACGTTGCTTTTGACGGCATGTGTGGCGTTTTAAAGGCAGGCCACTTTGCATAAAGTTAAGATGTACCTTTGTACTTTTCTTGTGTGCTTCCGGGAATAGAAGCAAATTCTCACCCAAGATTAAAAAAAGTGACAAAAGACAGACCTTTCAAAAGGATTATAAAAAGCTCTTTTTTTTTTTTTTTTTTTCCTTCTCTTCTCTGAGCAATAATGTATCTTCTGAAAGCGCTCATTCTTTTTTAGATTACAAAGCCTGACTAGTTTGTTTTGTCTTAAGATGTGGAGCTCAGTCTTTCCATACTGTATCTAGAATACATACATCCCGTGGAACATGTATCTGACACCTGCTCTCCTCACCTCAACAGTGATCCTGTTGTCACGTTGCAATATTTTCGCTTTAACGCCCTAACTTATAATCAAAATCCGTTACTGTATTAAGCAGTCAATATTGCACAGCTGTCTGTGTTTCACATCAAATGGGAAGGCAGTAATCACTCAGGAATCTGTTGTTTTCCTGAGGGGGAATACAAAAACTGGAGTGTATACTGTAGGTGCAGGGGAAGTAGCGGCACACTTTCATTTCAATGACATTTTCCATTCTTTATACTTTCCTTTGTTATCTACACTGTTCTCATTGCAGAAACGCTTCATACATTCATCTGTAACAGACAGCTATTTAGAAATACCAAAAAATCCCTGCGTCTGGTTTGAAGGCGACGTAAGCCTCAACATTCAAATCAATGCTTCTCCCAGGCTTCCTCGTCTCAATTACTGGTGAAGTCGTCTTTCCCCCTAAGTTGCACTGCAGCTCTTTAAGATGAAACTCCACTTAAATGGAATATGTGGGTGTTTCCTGGCAACAAATATGTGTGTGTGTGCCTGGTGTGCAAGTGCACATGCTGTCTTCAAATTGATGCTTATTGTCTTTCTGGTTTCACTCAAATCTGAAATTCCTTTTAACATCTGACAGCAGCACAGTGACCGCTTATTTACATTTACACAGAAGATGGGCCTTAAATAATGCTGACACTAGAATTTAAAATGTAAAATGTGCAGAAGATCTAATTTTAGAGGGACACAATATGATGACTTTAATTATTTTTTGAATATAGATATCGTTTTTGCAGACATTTCAACAAAGCGAGGGTTTCAGCAGAAAGAAAACGAGCAGTAATTATTATATTATATATGTTTATGTCACCTATATTTGCCATGAAGCAACATATTTATATTATTTGTATTTTTAATCAAAAGATATATAAAACAATCTAGTGTGATACATTTATAGAGTTGTTCTATATATTATGGACACATAAGTGAGTGTTGCAACGACTCTCACAAACTTCAAAGTTAATAACTGTGCTAAGCGTATGGCACAATCACAAAACAATTGCAAAAACAGACAGAACAGCCCATTTTGTGACATAGTGCTCCTGCGTAGTGCGTTGTTGGGGTGCGGGGCAGTCCGTGCTGCCGATCTTCTCTTTCCCCCACACACAGTGGGCGTTCTGTGGTTAGCTCGGGTCCCCGTGGTTGAGTATTGTTTGGGTGCGCTCTCCATCTAATGGGTTTCGTGGTCCGGGTCAATCAGGCCCTCCGTCTTGTCAGTAATTACTCCAGAGCACTGTGGCCCTCAGCAGCACGATAATAACAGCCAAATCACATCAGCCATGACTTTCCACTCAGTGCTCCAGTTTATGAGGAGGGACGAATACCAAAAAAATAACCGGCTCGATTGTGATTGGCTCCAAAGTTATTTCAATCAAGAAACTTGATGTCATCACTCGTGAGGTTAGAATTGGCTTTTTCAAGTCTGATTTGTGCTTCTCTTACTGAAGGGAGCATCAAAGCACTTCATGCAATCGCTTCTTCAAACTTTAACAGATAATAGAAAGATACTGGGAAAGGGATATTGTATTTGAGGAAAAAGAATGCCCCCACCAGGTAATTGGTGTTCCTTCACTGATTCCCTTACTTTTGTTTTATTTATTCTGAGTCGAGAACTAAGTAAATATAGAAAGAATTTGTGTTGGGAAAAAGGGATATTTTCATTCCTGTGCTGGTGTTTGTCTTTGATTTTTTTTTTTACCCACCTCCTGCAGCCCACCTAGAAACCCTGTCAAGGCAGTGAGAGAAAGCGAAGGAGTCTTAGTAAACACTTTCTGTGTCTGCTGCTGGTGTGTATTTAGTTTAGAGGGCATGCCAAGAGGCTGTTTTTCCATGGGTCGGGCGTCTGTAAACAAGCGGTACAACGGCAGCCCACTCTTCGACAATCGGAGGTGGCACACTCTGAAGTGTGTATGAAATGTGTGTGTCTGAGTGTTTGTCTTTTTGGGTTTCTTTTCTTTTCTTTTTTTTGGACATGGCATTCCCTCTTATTCGAGCCTATCTGGAGACGGAGAGAGAGAGAGAGCGAGAGAGGGTTTGTGTGTATTGGAGAGAGAAAGGGAGGGAGGGAGAGAGGGAGAGAGAGAGAGGCAACCCCAAATCCAATGGGCCGCCAATGGGTGATGAATTATTCCCTGTCTGAGTCTCAGCATTGGTGTTATCACAGAGCCTGCTACTGCACTGGGATGACAGCGGTGACAGCCCCCAGAAAAGATTTAGCGCTGACAAGTGATACTTCCTCATAATACATCTCCCTGGCCCTCTCCTCTGTCCCCCCTGTTCCACTCTACCATCTCTCCATGCACACAAGATGAGGTTTTCTATCCTTCAACTTATATTTGTTTAAGTGGGCAAGGCGTGTGTGTGTGTGTGTGTGTGTGTGTGTGTGTGTGGGGGGGGGGTCGGCTCTTTGCCATCACTTCTGTGGCACAAGTGCAGTAGGTACAGTGTACAGTAGCTCACCTTGGAAGGAGGCATGGGCACAAACCTAGACATACTTGTTTCCAGTACGTGTGTCGTAGTGGTACACTCGGAGAGAGACACATCCTCACAACCTGCATGTGTAGGACTCGGTTTGTCACCAAGTTCCATTAGGGGGCTCTCGTGCTTAAGGAATGCCTGTTGTGTTTTTGCATCAACAACAGTACTAAGCCATATTTCCCCACTTGTTTTCTCCTTTTTGCTCTCCCCTCTGTCTCCCTTCTCTTCTTCTTTTTGTCCTTCTTCCTCATCCTCCTCCCCCCCTGCAGAAAAGGTCACGTATCGCCTACAGTGATGAGGTGCGCAACGATCTCCTGGGGGATGACGCCAGCTCCTCGGAGAACCAGGTGAGGTGCTAATCAGGGGCCCGAAACGACAGCAGTGTGGGTGGCTGACTGGCCCCAAGGGGTGGGGAGGTGGGCCCCTCGTAGCGGCCATCGAGAGCTGAAACCGCAGTATTGTCACCAAGTCATGCGGAAGCAACACTGTTTAATGCAAAGCTGGGCTGCCAGCGAGTGGGCTCAGGGCATGGGACCAGTGTCAAGCCACAGCCAGATTGTGACCGACGCACATGCACAAGCTAACACACACACACACACACACACACACACACACACACACCTAAACACAAACGCACTATCCCACACAAATTTAAATCCGAAAACCCGGCCTCCTCACTCCAACCGTCCCACAGCTGTTCTCCAGCCGGGTGTAGACTTTGGCCAATAATAGATCCTCCATCGAGGTCCGCACACGCACACAGACACACACACACGCACGCAGGATTTCTAAATGTTGTTCTCCGGTCTTTATTTAAGCTCAAAGGGTGGCGGACCTTCACAATGCAGATACTTAAAATGAATAAGAATGGAGGTTCTCATATTGTTAACAACTGATGTTTTGGTGCAGTGCTCCATACAAATGATCCTTTCACCCCTAAATATATATTTTTTATTATTTAATATCATCCCTGAATCAAAAAATTCGAATTCTATTTGACTTGTTTATGATTTTGATCTATCGACTATGAACATATTCACAATTGGTTAATTACCGATGGCGTTTTGTTTATCGATTCAGCCTGTTGAATTCAAGAGATACAAACAGATAAAGACCACATTTGTGATTTTCATTCATTGTCGGCAATGTGTACAAAGATTCATTCACTGCACTGAAAGTGGCAATGAAGAAGAAAAAACAATTATCTTGAATTGTGATCTTAATTGCCCAAAATATGCCACATGTTCTTTTTAACTTAAGCTCTTTTGAATAAATGTAGAGCTGCATCAAAACAACGACACATCAACGGATTCAGCAAACAGCGTTTTAACATTTGAGACGCACTTGCCTATTGCTCACCTGCACAGCTGCCACTCATACGCAGCCCCACTCAACTATGACCAAACGTCTTTTGACTAATTATATATTGCCTTTACAATCGGCTGTCAACTTGCATGGGTTGCTGCGTCTCGAAGGCACACACAATCTCACGCGCTCGCATGCAAATAAATACTTTGCATTTGCGCCCTCAAAAAAAGAAAAAAAAGACAAAGATGAATACTCGAATGCATATTTGCACATTTAGTCCCTCAGTGCTTTTATGTGAGTATATTTAGATGATTCGCAGCTAAGCAAAGCTAAATAAAGTTGTCTGTTTGTTTTTCCCTATTACCATTTCAATGATGACCCATGAACTACACATCTTAGAAACATATGTATCAAGAAACCAAGATGTGTAATTGAAATGCATATTCCCCGCAAATTAGCAAGACACAAAATTGACTCTGACATTTTCTGCAGAAGTCGGAAGAAGGTTTGCTGTCAGAAATGTCACGTTTGAGATACTGAGGACTTCTATCAGAATCCTGTCAAGGAAGAGCTGAACGAAAAAACAAACGGATCTCATTTAATATCAAATCTTATTTCCCTTTCATTAAACATTCATCCCAAAATATTTAAAATGTACATTTATTAATGTAAATTGAGACATCTTAAAAGAAAATCATTGATAGAAATGTATCAGTATAGAATTAATATTATGGAATGATGTTATACATTTATATTCTAAATTGGGGAAATTGCTGTTTTATTGTTAATATTGTTTTTTAGTATTCTTAATTATAATGATCAAATTATTTTATTTTATGTCAAATTATTGAGTTCCTGACTGAAAACAATGACGTGTTCATTTGATCCATGCATGCACACATTAGAGGTATCAGAATGTGACATTTAATTCTCAGCTCACGTCAACATAATAATGTAAATTATGAAATGTTTGTGAATAATATTAATTACATCGAATGAATGTTAAAGGTATAAAAAATATATTTAGCTGAAAACGTTCATCTTCTGGAATTTAGGCCAAAGATGATGAAAAATAAGTGACACTTTCCTTTTAATTTTTTCATTGTATTTCATTCAATTTCATTTTGTGCAAAAATATCACAACGACTCGAGACTTGAATATGTTTAAAATATACAATATCAGTTATTGAATTGTGAAAAACCCTTTTAATATTTAGCAATTATAATGTCTGAGGTGAAACTTTAATAATTGTATTCCACCGTATATATAAAGTACGCACACAAAGCCTGAGAAAGAATATTCCTGCTGGGGCCAAAAGCAAAGTAAAGAGACGATATACGTTTTCTCCTTTTTCCTCTCAGGTGCCGTATTTACCTCATTTTCGTTCTATAACTTGTGGAGATAATAGTCGTCTTGGTTTTGCTGTGAGTGGAGTACTCGGAACTTCAGAGTTTTTTATCTAACGAGACGGCGGCGATAGGAGAGGGGAAAAGACGGTGGGGGCCGGGGCAAGTCGGTCAATTTAATTCCTGACGATCTGAAAGAGGTCAGGATCATTTCATATAGCCCTGGCTGAGCAGATCATTACCAGTCACAAATCTGTTGGTTACATGGCAAGGATTTATAGCTAAGTAAATAGGGAACCGTCATAAGTTCTGAAAATGGCGTATTGGCCCTGCGATAATGGCTAAAGGACGATTTAATAGAGTTCGCCATTTATTCGTTATCTGTGTGCGGACAGAGACTGAATTGGCACTATCACTCGTTTTTTTTAATAATGTGGTAGGCTACCATTGCACATTTTCTCCTTCTGTTTCCTCTGCATGCAACACACGCACAAACGTTGGTGCACACACACACACACACAAAGACAGACGCCACACACAAAGCAGCAAATGCCCACCCGTTTTCCACACACGAACACTATACGGAATAGTTTCGATTTCAGTCACAGCAGAAGGCTTGGCCACAAGAGATTGTGCCGGTTTGAGCCGGCATGGACCAGATTTTACAGGCTACAAAGGAAGCAGATTACCACTTGTATCGAATTCCGTATTGGATAAAAAAAAAAAAAAATCTTTTGTTTGCTGATTATCATAACAGAAAAATTGCAGCAGTGCAATTTTGAATACTGGCTGGCATCACAAAAACACAAGGCAAAAGGCGCTCATGCCGGAGTAATTATAACATTTACAATATTCTGTATTTACGGCTCTATATCTCTTGAGCAACGTGAGCGTCGTTGGCTGTGGGAAAGAATGGATGCCAAAGAAAAATAAAGCTACGCAGGAAGAAACAACCCGGCTCAACATGCCCCTCGTATAGTTTTAACAAATCCTCCACCAGCACTCGCAATCAGTGAGGCAGCACAAATGAGCTCGAACAAGTTTTGTTCGGTACCCATTGACTGATGGCTGAGCTGGGGGTGAGGGATCGCAGGATCTGCTGGGTTTTTCTCAAGCCCCCCCAAATAAGCACATCCACAGTGTAGTTTTAAACTTTGGCCCCTTCAATAATGCATTCTTAGCGGGGAGTTGCTGCTCGAGTTAGAAAAGACAGTTTCCACTCTTTAAGTGCGTCTTGTTGCTGCCGACATTTTCAAGGGAAAGAAAAAGGAAAACATACAATTATACTTGTTTACCTCCCGCCTTACAGATATCAACAATGTTTTTTTATGTTTGCAATATTGCAGTGAAGCGTCGTGTTTTTTTTGGGGATTGGTGGGAAAAACTAAAACGATGCGAGAACTATTTTTGAGATGCTTTTAAAAACAATACGGGGGGGGAGTGCAGTGACAAATGCACGATTGTAATGGGGGAAGTACTTGATGTTTGTGTTTTATATAGTATATTCCTCATGAATGTATTACCATTCGACACATTTCTTCGAGTGTGTTTACTAGCGGTGTAATATAAATAGAGGAGACAAATGTATGCAGTGCAGTGTTGTTTTTTTTTGTTATTTAGGATCCTAGTATAACAAATGTTTAGTGTTATTTTTTTATATTTATTCTGGTCAGAAGAGTTGGTGCTTAATTTTTCCACCAGCATGTTTATGTTTGTTTGTTTTGTACCTTTTTAAAGTTAGCAATCAAGTTCTTATTTGAAATCTAGCAACTCTCACCTTTTTATGTGATACAAAATTATTCCAGGCTCACAAAATTCAAACAAACAGCACAAGTAACAGCGGCCCTGAGCCTCTCCTCACATCTCCTAATCTTTAATGTTGGTCAAGAAATGTAGATAAGAGAAAAGAGAAAAGACCGCTCTAAAAGGCTCGCAAATCAAGAAACGTGTCCTTCCCCCTTTTCTGCCATCCGTGTTGCGTTCCCACGATAAGCCCCAGCCTTCGCTTTCCTCCTCTCCAGCAACAAGAACAGGCCAGGGAAGCAACCTTTTTAATTGTGATTAGGCATAATTAATGGCAAATGGGATTATTTCCCTCCCTCAAATGTCTGATCCATTATCAGAGATGCAAGCCTTTCCAGCACGGGGGAATAGGAATAGCATTTCTTATTTACTTCACTTTAAATTTCCCATTCTCTTTCATCAAAAATGTATAGCTGTGCTAAGATTTATTTTTCATGATCTGTGGCTGTCCCAATAATGCGCTCCCCTGTACGTATATACAGTGTTGGCCTCGCATACATAATCTAAATGCACCTTTACGGAGATACACGAGCTGCATGAAATATCGACAGGATATCAGCGTTGATAAACAGTGTGGCTCAGCGTTTCTCCACCTCGGTTCCAAAGGGGACACACATTTCTTTTTATCCCTTTCCAGAGAATTCAGAAAAATGACAGATGCAGTTTACAAATGTTGAGGAAATATATTTTGTAACTGCGCAGACTATATATTTTTCCTCTTTCCTCTTGCTATATCAACTTCAGTGATGTGACGTCCTTGATAATGTTAGGTGATATCGCGAGTCGAGCGATCCGTTCCCTCTCTTGTTTAATGTGACAGCGCCAGGACTTGATCTTTGTTTGTTCAAAAAAAGTCAGCCCGAGCGGCGTGTTTAGCTCCGTTTCATGTGTTTGTCTTGTGATTTCCAAATGCTAAACATGCAAACAGATAAATCGTCGAGGTTAATTCTGTACTCAGCCACATGACTGATCTTCTTCCTGCCATGTTTCTGCCTTTTTTTTATTTATTATCTCTCCTTCACTCTCTCCATCTTTCTCTCTTCTCCCTTCTGCTCTCCTGATGCAGTTGATAAAGTTACGTGAAGAGGTAAGTGCTTCTCTGCTCCAACAGTTCAAATTCTGCTTTCCCACTGAAATTTCCATTTGCTCTCCTCTCTCCCGGAGAAAATTAAATTCAGCTCATTTGGACACTTTTTTTTTTTTTTTCCTTCTTTTTGTCTGATTGAACAGCTTACAAGCCAAAGATAATGAATTCACTGAAGGCTAGTTCCTCCAGTTACCTTAAATAACATAAAGTCAAGATAAGATATTATTTCTGATTCCACTTTTTAAAGGCAAATATTGAGGAATGAAGATAAACTTAAGAGTATATTCGCAGTTCAGAACTTGATCAACTTTTTAGTTTCAACAGGGTTTTGCTGCTTGTATTATTTGAATGGAGCCACATGACTTTCTTTCTGACTGTTGTAATAAATTGGATTGAGGTTATCATTATTGATATATGCGTTTATATTATACATGACAGACAGTACGATCGTTGTCTTTTTGTCATTCACTGCATTAACATCACCACCATTGCCAAGGTTTACTGAACTCGCTTCATGACTTCTATAATGTGCACAATGTAAGGTGTCATGCACAGTGTGCAACGTAATGACAACTGTCACTAAGCGTCCACTTCAACGACATGATCATCATCCTGTTCAAACAAACAAAAATGCCAAGAAAACATGTTGAACTGTCGGGTACTGTACATTGCTGGCTTGTAGATCATGTTAGTAAAGATCATTTTAGTTTAGCAGATAAAGTTAGCGACAATACACAGCCAGCAGAAACAAGAGTTGGCTCGCTGCTTCGCTGATTAGCTTACCAAATGCTATCGTAAGAATCTAACTTTATTGCCCTTAATGATGATTTTATTAAACGAAAGCCACTGATGTTGGAATAATGTTGTGGTTCCTTGAACTTTCATGTCGTTGCAGTACCTGTAATATAGCTGTAACTATAATACCAATGCTATGTTGAGCTGCTCCACTACACAATAAAATACACTTTTAATTGATTTTATCTTTCAGTTGAACAAATAAATGATTGTGGCAATTATAATAGTGGACTGCCATGACAATCGTCCATTTATTAAGTTTATTTTAAGGCTGAAACTTCAACTCTAAACGTAATTTAGATAAGTGAAGCTGTCTAAAAATGGCTGAATGTTGATTTAGTTGTCACAGTAGTTGGTTTATTTAGTTGCATAGTGGTTTTTAAAAAGCATGCTAAGTGTAACGTAGGCTTTTATTGATTTAAACCTGAAACAGTTGCTCGTAGACGGTCTATAGATATTCCTAACGGTAGCAGTAGCATCATTGATTCTATCAGTTTTAGAGAAGGTGTATTTCCCTGTAATTAAAGCAGATTTAGTTGTTTCACTGTTCTGTTGCTTGTCCTTTGAGTTATGACTGCACTTGTATGTGCAGGTGTAGTTACAGTATGTTGTTAAATGTGCCTTTTGAGTGAGACTGTGTTCAAAAGAACCTCTGCTGGAGCAGAGTAATTCAATTCCTATCAAAGGCTCACCATTCACACCTATCCATAATTTAGAGCGCCAACCTGGCCGAGATGCCATGTTATCACACTTCTTTCCCTTTATTTAGCTGTACTATTGTTTCCCCTTCTTCTTCCCAACCCCTTTCTGTGCATTTCCTCCTCGCCTGAGGGTCAGAAGACAGCTTGTGTTACCTCACCTGTCTCCCCCTTTTTGGAACGGACCAATCTGTGTTATCGGGCTTGATTCTGCCCCCCTCTTCGCCATCACACTTCCCCGTTGCAGTCTTTTACCCCTCTGCTCTTCCTGCATTTGAATCAAAGGCTGGCACAGCTTATACACACTTAAGTCTTGCTTTTAAAAAAAAACTATACTTTTTTTTTTTTTTTTCTGCAGCTGAAAAACATGTTTAAATATTTAGCACCCATATTCACAGCTGTTTGACACTTGTAATTCCTCGTCTTACAAGTCCCAAACAAACGGCACAGAAGATCACACAGTCAGTCTGAATCACAGCTGTCATCATTATTCACTTTGACTCTCCCCCACCCTTATTGAAATAATAAGGAAATCATCTGAACTTTGGAAAATGGTGATAGTAACCGCCTGTGTTTGATATTGAAAAAAAAAGGCAGGAGAGCGAAAGAAGAGGGGAGAGATTTCTTTTGAGCTACAGCTGCATTGTTCTGGGGCTCCCCGTTAATAACTTACAACTGAAGAGTGTTTCTTGACGCAAAAAAGCACAACAAAAAAAACACCATTTTCGTGGTTCCTAAGAAGATCTTTGTTCAAAATGTAGGTGTCAGATGAAAAGGCATACATGCATAGGCAGAAACGGTGGTGGTGGTGGTGGGGTGCACCAGTGCACTCAGACATGCACAATCTTTATCATATATTGTATTTAAGTCTTTTGCTAGAAGGCTCCATGAGACCATCAGATATGATTTTGATGAAAACCTTAGTTTAGAGTCGATTAATGGATTGAATAGGTGTTGGTGTATGTGTGTCGACAGGGGTCAAGCCTTGATTATGGGATGTTGTAGCACAGTTGGGTCTGGAAGCCACTTTGCATTTCCTCCGACAAAATGCTGACGGGGATGTCTGTGATTTTGTCTTGCTATAATAAAACTATAGCCGAACACTTTGATTCTCATTTGTCTGGTTGTTGTGTGATATTTGAATATTGGAACAATATTGCTTTTTAGACATCTTATAAAAACTGTGACTATATAGTACAGGATGTTTAGTTCTCACTGTACACGTTCCTTTTCATTATTTCCCATGGTATGGTCCAGTGTTCATGGCTGGATTGTTTCATTAGTAGGGCCATCACAGTGGGCCATTACTGGATTCTTAGTGGCTGAACTCTCACCCTTTCCTTCAGGTTCTGTCACCATCAAACTGGGGGCGCATTATTCTATATATATACTGGGGGCTATATATATTTATATATATTATTCTATCTATCTATATATCTATATATCTATATATCTATATATCTATATATATATATATATATATATATATATATATACACACACACACAGAGAGCCACTCCCACCACACCCACCCCCCCACATTCACCCTCCCCTCCCCTCCCCCCGGCCCTAAAAGAAGACAGAACGAGAGAGAGAAATTCAGGAGGAGAAAGCTTTGAAGTGGCTTTTCCATCGCAGTGAGTCCGCCGGCCGTCTCCCCGAGACATGTCACCTTTGCCGAGAGGGAATAGGAAAAAAATCACGTTTCGAATGGTAATGATAACATACTAATCACTTGAGCTCTTTGAAGAACCCGGGGAGTGCGCTACTCTGTCAGTATCCCCGGCTGCCTCATGCTCCCAGGCACACACAGGCACTGCAGCCATGGTCTAGGTGTATAAGCTTAAGCATTGCATGTCAATACGTCCCCTCTGATCCGTAGGCTCATTATAGCCCAAGCTTGCTATCCATTTTCTCCCACGAGCATGCCGCCACCATCTCTGCCGGTGCCACTACAACTTCCACACCCATGTAACCCCTCCCTGAAACCCCCCTCCCCCCCGCCACACCCTTCGCCAAAAAAAACACAACCGCACCTTGCATCCCGTCCCGCTCACCATCTCCTTATCGCTTTCCTCCTGCCAGCAGCCCATTTTACCAGCCATCCACCCGCCCACCCGCTCTCCTATCCCTCCATCCTCCCCCTGCCCTCCCTTTAACTATTGAAAAGTATCTCAGCAATTTTAAATGACATCTGTCAGCGGCGCGTAGAAAAGGGAAGCGAGGGAAAGAAAAGAGTTCAGAGGGAGTTTTCTCCTCCCTGCTCTTTTCCCTTTCCTCTTATTGTCAAACTTTGAAAAGTGTGTCGTTGACTTTTTTTTTTTCTTCCCTCCACGTTTTTTCATTTCCTCTGAGTGATTAGCTGGTACACATTTTGACAGCCTAACCAAAACTAGAGACTTCACTTCTCCCCCTGTCCCCTCCGCTCATTTGATGGGCATAAACCCTTGTCAGAGAGGCGGATGTCATTCGTCAAGTTGTTTTTGAGTGTCAAATATGTTCCATCTGATCAGTTTCTTAGCATAGCATATTAGAAAGGCCATCAAAACCAACAACATTGGAGTAAACATTTAAGCCTTCCATGTTTATGCTGTTTATATTCCTCTCTTCTGAATTCAGTTTGGATTTAATCAAAGCGGGGGTAGTGGACAATATGGGGCTGTATATGTTGATTGAAGCTATGTTTGTATGTTTGATAGACTCTGCACTGAAGAACCATGGATCAATAGACTTTATTGAGATTGCACCGTACGTGTGCCTAATAGACTGAGCAATGGTATTAACTACCCTTAAAGGATATATTGGGTCGACAATATACACAACTTAAAGGTTATCTTTTAAATACCGTACACCTAAATGTTTGGCTGAAAATGTGTAAAAAGTAAGTCGAGTCAATTTCAACCAATCAGCAAAAATCACAGTTTTTGTCAGTATTTAAAATCTGCTAGAAGCAACCATGATGGGGAAAATGGTATAATTGCACTGAACTTCAATATAATATTTAAGCTTTATTTGAAACAAAGAATGATCAAACGGATGCTTCCATGATTAACCCCCTTGTGATACAGTGCAGCAGAATCTTTTAATGAGAGTTGTAGTTTATCAGATCTTTGGAATTGTATTAAAAACATACAAGGTCAGAAACACAGAAACAAACCTAAAGGGTAACTTCGCTATTTTTCATCCATTGTTCCAACAATGTGGACGCGACTTGGTTAGACACGGTAACAAACACAGCGCATCCAGCTGAAGGTAAAGAAGACCATTGTATTTCTCTGTAGGGTCCTTTCCATAATGTTGTCAGACTCTTATAATAACAATCTGAGCCTGTTGGTGGCAAAAAACCATCACTTTTAGCATTGACGGTGAGGAATTGCCACGAGCGATGACATTGCAACCCCTTTAGCGGCTTCTTTCTCTAAACCGGACCAGCTGTTGTCCCCATTCGTCAATTGACACAAAACATGTCCAGACTGAAAAATACTGAAGCTACCCTTTAATGCAGATATGCCCTAAAACGGTCATGTTTTTACAGGTTGTGGTGAACTCCTTTCAAATGACTTGTCCAAAACATAGACACACATTTGTGAGGTGGAGGGGAACCTGCATGGGAAAATTGTGGTGATAAATGATCTAATATTGACGTTTTAGGCAGTTTATTGCAACCACAACCAAAGCATCAGTTCTAATTAGAACGCCTCTTTTGACCAATTAATTAAACAATTTAATGTTGAAAACATTCCCAGATAGAGATTTCCTGCTTTAGGTTAATACAGCCAGGTTATTGCCAACCTGGCTGTATTATGTTGTTGCTGTGGATGTGGTCTGTCTGTTTAGGTGACAGTGTTGATGTGTTTCTTTGAAATGGGTCCCAGCCCTCTCAATCAAATTTTTTATTTTTTTTGTGTGTGTTTGTTTCTCTGGCTTCATTTTTTTCCCCCTCTTCTCTATTTGTTGCAGAGAGCGCATCTGTTGGACAACACAGAGAAGCTGGAAAGGTCATCACGGAGACTGGAGGCCGGCTACCAGATAGCAGTAGAAACCGGTACGTAGTCTGTTTGGGATTGGGTGAGGAAGGAGTAGAGGGGGGAGGGGGAGTCAAGATAGTGGTGGGGATGAGTGAGCGACAGTAAATTGTCTTGCTCATATGCGAGGTAGGTGGATGTGTGTGTTTGGGGGTGGTGGGTGGGTGAGGGGGGGGGGGGGGGGGGAAAAAAAAAAAAAAAACTCTTTCCTTGACGCCTGATGACATTTTCGGGAGCACATCAAAGGCGAGCCAGGAAGGGAGGGAGAGAGAGAGAGATGTACAGGCAACAGATCGAGCGCTGCTTTTTCTTGCTCTGCTCCCGAAGAAAATTTGTTGTGTGTGTGTGTGTGTGTGTGTTGGTTGAGCGACTGTGTTTTTTTTTTTGTTTTTTTTTCCACAGACAGGGGGTCTGTGAAAATAAACAATGTCAGCGTTCCTCCTGAAGTTCTTAATTCAGGAGTGCAGGAAGAAGACAAAAAACATAATATCACATTCTAAATAAACCATCACAAAAAAAAAACACACACAAGTCCTTTTTTCCTCAAAGTCCTTTTTATCTTAAAATAGGAAAAAAGCTCATTGGGTTCTTAAATAGATTTAACCAGTTAGCATATTTTTCTTCTTCTTCCTTCCTGACAGTCACCACATTATTGAGGCACAGTGTATTCCTCAGAGATGTATCAAAGCTCATTCTTGAAGTATCAACCGGCTTTCTGTGGCTTCCGTTGTAGTTTTGAAAAAGTTTGTCAATTTACACTATAATCGCGGGGTGGCTGGCGTGTGCGACATCGACAGATTTAATAATTCAAGTCAAGGAAGGTTCGCACGCAGACCACCGGCTTTTGATGTTCTCTCTAACTTGCGTTCACAAATTCATAAATACAATCTGCATTCTCTGCTTAAAAGTGTTGATTCAAATGCCTCGGATGATCCTGCCGTTATCCCAGCTTCTCGACTGTGTCAGATTCTGCGACAGCCGACAGATTTTTTAATTCTACCCAGTTGTGTGTTTCACTGGAGCGGCTCGTTTTTTTTTTTTTTTTTATATGTTTTTTGCTTCACAGCTTGGTTGGTGTTAAAGAAGTGGGCCATGGCTTAACAGTGTTCAGTACCTCCTGGGCCCGGCGGTCTCTCCTCCTCCTCGTCGGCCACATGCCCCTTGACCCTGTATCACCGGTGGCCCTCTCATCCGCTGTGTGTGCAGCTAGCTAAGAACAATGCTCGTTTATCCTGCCTTGGTCCCACACACTTGGCTTGGTCCACAGCAGCTGGGGGTGCGTTTGTGGTTTGGTGGGGAAGCTTCGCCCCACGTCTTTAATCCATGACCCCTTCCTTTGCGCTGCTGTCGATACCGACCCTCCGCTCAGATGCACAACCTGAAATGGCAATGTCTCCGGGTCAAACAAGGGAATACATCTGCACAAAAAAAACCCGTAGATACACAGGGAATATGTACTCCTCCACGAGACTTATTACTCGACCATGCCAGGCTCTTTAATTCAGCGAACACGCTGGGCACAAACATCAGGTAGCCGCGTTTGTCCTCTGGTTTATAAGATCTGACGTGGTTCAGCTTGGTCTTTAATTTAGTGTTGTTCACCCATCTCCAATTATATATTTACTCTTGCGTTTCCCAGACATCTTTATGAAATACTGCACTGGTTAGATCAGAGTCCTGCCATAGTTCTTAAGAGTATTGAGACACAGTATACCAAGGACTGCGATTTGTCGTTTTTGCAAACGCTAAACTGTTTATTTACAAAGTCCAATAAAAGCTCCATTTATTGTAGTTCCTTCTCTTGCACGTCAAGAAGCACAAAATAATGATGTAAAAACTCAAGAAGTGCACCGCGCTTTATGCCTGCACGTTTATGAAAGTGGCATTTGCAATGGTGGAGGAACATGCTTTGAGTTTTAAAATGCAGAGGTATGGCATCCATGGACGTTAAACACAAATAATTACGGCGTTAAGTGTTTCTCCAATCAGACACACTCTGGTCATATTGCAAAATTCCTTTCTTGCCGCAGACCTCGACTCTTCCCAGACATCTAAGATGTACTTTTTACAGAGAGCAGTTTAGCATCGTTATTTTTCTCGTAATTCAAAGTTGCATTCTCCGTCGACGATGACACCGCAGCCCTTAGGAACTGTAATTGACCAATGGGGAAAGTGGAACTAAAAGACATTTTATTTCAAAGAGACGGATCCTGAACAAAGAAATGGTGTAGAAACTCAGCTTTGCCCCCTTTTTTCTCTTTAGCGTTGACAATATATCTCTTAATGACCAGGAACAAAAAAGCCAGGATGCTTCTAGGTCACATTTAAGGGAAAAAAAGAAACACAGTACTCTTAGTTCTGAGGAAAGATACATCTTCACACAGTACCATTTTATCAGATTTCAGCATTTCTTTTTTTCTCTCTCTACCATTCTCAATGTCTCCAGTGTATTTAGGGAAAACAAAGGCCCTGCCAAAAGCAGTGAGAGCCCTCAGAGGGATATAGAGGAGACTCTTTGGACACGCAGCGCTATTTACCACACGCACCCTCAAGAACCAGGGTCCTCTGTTTGTCTCATAAATAAAGTATAGAACTTCATTAGTGAAGAGCACGGACTTAAAAGCCCAGGCAGAGCAACAAGCAGACATGGGGGCTAGCCCAGTTAAAGAGGGAGGGCACGCAGTTAGCCAATTTAAAGACATTTGAGTCGGGGGCATTTGAAATGCCCAAATGTGGAGACTTGACTGATGTTAAATCAAAGACATGCCAGATTTTAGTCCTTCCCTCCACAGTTGAAAAGATTTGTGAATGATTTATGATTGCTTGTTTAGAAATAGATAGCATGTCAGACAAGGCATCTAAGTTGCAATGATTAGCTGCTCCACCTTTTTGATTATTATTCATTGAAGGGGAGAGAGTTACACACTGATGCAAAAAAAAAAAAAATAAAAATAAAATGCTCCTTCAAAAACTCCTGCTGAATTTTTCCAGTTCTGCTAATAAAAGTCCACTGCTTTGTTTACGGGCGTCACTCTAATAATCAAATTGCTTTAAATGACATTTGCTTTGTTTTGCCTTTGCTGATGGTGCAGTAAATCCACATTTTAGGACTTTATTACAATAATAATAATAAACTTGAATTATGGGTTGTAGCAGCAATGGCTGTATGTGTGCTTTAAGCTTCTGTAGCTTGCTTGCAGAGACTAATGCATGTTTAATGCAATTCTAAATTTTAAGATTCAATTTTAATATGAAACGTATAGGCTTTTAATTTTTACTATTATTATGAATGAATGCTTCTCTGAGGCGATTTTAAAAGAAATGACTTGACTCAATAACTCAGCCAGCAAATGTGGAGTGAATTTACTTTGAAGATTCAACCCCTTTATACTTGTTCAGTTGACACAAATAACTTCGCAATGGCAGCAGAATGAGCCCCTGAAACAAAGACAAAGACAGACACAGACAAAAGCGCTGCTGCTCTGCATTTTAAAGGTGGCCAGCAAGAGGCTGAGAAGACTTCTTAGGCGAGTGTTCTTGGTGTTTAGGGGCCTGTAATCAATCCTGCGAAATGAAAACAGCTCATTAGGGATTGATTTCAGTCCCGTTTAGATAAGCAGAGAGGACCAGGGCCCGGCCCCCAGGGGCCCCAGCCGAGCCCAAAGTTCACGCCATGCCAGGTAGAGAGCAGCACCGCAGGCTATCAACTTTATGAGGATGAAGATAAGCTGATTAGACCGTGTCAATCAAAGGTGCCAGTGACTCAATCGTGATCCAGGGGTCTTTTTCTTTCTATCTCTCCCCTTTTTCTCTCACAATCTCTCTCTCTCTCTCTCTCTCTCTCTCTCTCTCTCTCTCTCTCTCTCTCTCTCTCTCTCTCTCTCTCTTTTTTTTGTGATAAATCATTGAAGCGACCAACAAAGTGGCAGCCATCGCTGGGCTAAGCTAAGCAGCCCTGCAGTTGTCACCAAGGCAGACGCGCAGGGACCCTGTGATGTTGTGACGACTATATTAAAGACTACATCAATTTGTGTTAGAGCAGTTTGATTTTCAACTGCAGTGGTATTAAAAGAGTGTGTGTGTGTGTGTGTGTGTGTGTGTGTGTGTGTG